GGTCCTTCTTTATAGTCCTATCCAAAAATACATCAGGGGAGAGGGTTCTGCATGCAAAGATTATTTCAGCTCAGCAATGCACAGTTCACACATATAAAATTAATGCTACACAACTGCGCTTTACAAGAGAATCCTGCTCGTATCTCCTCAGAAATTTGGCCACTGAGTTTTTACACCCAGGTAAGTAGATGAGGAATTGCAGCCCTCTGACACAAAGTGTATTTTTTTAAGTGCTATTGAGTTCAATTCACTTTATTCACAGGAAAGTTGGCACAGAATCATAGTCTTCTTTATCATTCTCAAATTATCCGATGCTTTGCTGTCATCGTCTGCCAGGGGCTAAATTAGAAGGAAGTGGAGCCCACTGGTTTCTCTCCACTTTGACTGGCTCATCTTCTGGAACTTTGGTCCACCCAGGTTTCACTGGCAAACAATCTCTGAGCAGGACATCACAGAAACTCACAAGTGGGGTAGCATTGTGCCGTGAGCACAGCGCCACTGGGACTTGTTACATCCAAGGAAGGACTCTGCCTTTGCCCACAGGACACCTCAGCTTTCTCACAAGCATCACGTGTCTCCTTGCCATGAATACAAGTGAGAATCACCGCCTCTGAAACACTGGCATTCATGAGATGGAGAGCAGAAGCCAGCAAAAAGTCCCATGATCTTTTCCCATAGTGCCCACATCCATGCAGCTCTCAGGTAAGCGCAGTAATATGCATGTTGTTGTCAGGTGCCGTCAGGTCTTCTCCAGTTCTTGGAGACAGTATGAATGAATGCACACTCCAGAATGTCCTTCCCAGGACAGCCCTGCTCAGCCCTTGTAAATCCAAGGCTGTTACTTCCTCGATGGAATCACTTCCTCCCATATTTGGCCTTCCTTTTCTTCCTCTGCCTCCAACTTTCCCAAGCATGTGTATAATATTTCTTAGTATGGTGCATTTCACTAACAACAGAAAGAGGGGAGGAGATTCAGAGATTATACAGCAAGAATGTAAGCAGACAAGGTATGCCTGCTGCTTTACTTGCATTCAACACCTGTCAAATTATTGTCTATGTTGCAAGACTATGGCCACAATCCTACACTACTTGCCTGGGAGTAATCCCCTCTGAACCCAGTGGGTGGTACTTTTCAGCAAACCTGTCTAACAAGGTGCTATAAGGCCCTAATTCTGCAAACACTTATCTGGAAGAAAGTCCTGTGAATGAGACTTCCTGCTGAGGGCACAAGAGAAGGTTGTGCTGCAGCCCTTTTTCTATAACATGGCAATTTGATAAGACTGCTTACATAGCACAGTGCACCAACTCTGAAACGTGCCATGAGTCCCCCTTCATAAAGGGTGGTGCAAATATGCCACAAAGGGTACAGGGAAATGTTGCTCCATTTCACTCTTGTGGTCGGTTAACTTGACCCTTGAGTGGAGAAGGAGAGAGAAAGACGGGATAACCACTTGCCCTAAGATAACTCCCCGGAAACATACCCTGTGGCTTCCAGCCCTGACTGAAAGGGAGTGCAGTAACCTGTAGACTTCGGAAATGCAACCTGTTGTCTTTTGTGCAATGCATCGTTTGCTCACGCTCTGCTCAGTGCATGATCCCGACCTGGAGATGGCTGGGTGCCCTCCAGCTCCACTCCGGGAGGGGTCCATAAGCAGCAACACTGGGCTGATTTATCACAGTTTTTGCCAAGATCAATCTGTCGTGAGTTTTAAGTAGACGGTCTCTCTTCTGAATGGAGTAGCTGAATTACTGTGAAAGGAAATTGCACTTCTCCTCTTCCAGAGACAACAAAAACCACTACAAGACATTTGGAAGAGCTAATACAAAGCATATCTTTAAAATATGGCTGGCATTGACTTCGCATTCTTTTAGACACCAGGTAAATACTTTTTGGTCCAAACAAGCTTTTGGTTAATCTCATTTGTTGTTGGTTTATTAAATTTTGGTTGTTAATTTATTGGTTGCATTTGGTCATGTTGTGTATGGTTCTATACAAACTTTATTATGTGATAAGGCTTAATACTTTACTCATTTTACTGTTTTTATCCATTTTACTGATTGCATTTATAAGCTGCCTTCAGCATTTGCAAGGTGCCCAGAGAACCCTCGGGTTATAGGGTGGCATAGAAGTAGAATGAAATAAATGAAATAAATACAGTGTGAGAACACATGCCCCCAATTCAGATCCTGAATGCTGCCCTGCAGGGGGCCAGGACTGAACCTTTCTCCCCAGACAGTCTTTTGTTTTCCTCCAAAATCACCACAACCAGCAGCTCAGGTAGGATAAACAAGACAGAGAGCCCCCGCTGGCATCAAACCAGATTTGCTTACTCCAGTTCTCATCAACTATCTCCAGGTCCATGAGGATGCAAAGATGGACAAGGAGAATAATCTCACAAGGGTGGCAGAATTCATCCTTCAAGGATTTACGGACAATCCCAGCACAGAGGTTGCCCTGTTCCTGCTGTTTCTCGCCATCTACGTTATCACTGTGTCTGGAAGCCTTGGCCTGATGGTGCTGATCAGGATGGACTCCCGCCTTCACAAGCCCATGTACTTCTTCCTCGGCCACTTGGCGTTCACAGACCTCTGCTACACCTCGGCTATTGCCCCCAAGATGCTGGCGAACTTCTTGGCAGAGAAGAAAGCCATCTCTTATGCAGGCTGTGTGACTCAGCTGTGGGCCTTTGCTGCCTTTCTGAGCACCGAGTGTTTCCTCCTGGCCGTGATGGCCTTTGACCGCTACATGGCCATCTGCAACCCACTGCTCTACTCTGCTGTCATGTCCCAAAAGTTGTGCTGCTGCTTGGTTGTTGGATCGTATGCCGCTGGCGTTGCAAACTCAGCACTGCAGACTGTGTGCGTGTTCAGATTATCCTTCTGTACACGTAGCATCATCAAACATTTCTTCTGCGACATCCCGAAACTGCTAATGCTTTCGTGTTCTGAAACCTTCCTTTCGGAGTCCCTCTCCGTGTTTGCAACAGGAATGGTCGCCATGATCTCTCTTTCAGCCATTATCGTCTCCTATTTCGGCATTGTATTGGCCATCCTGAGGATCCAGTCTCTCAAGGGTAGGCACAAAGCCTTCTCCACTTGTGCTTCTCACCTGACGTCCGTCACTTTGCTCTATGGAACTGGGTCCGTTATGTACTTACATCCTGATCTGAAGTCTGGGCTAGACAAGGACATGGTGATCTCCGTATTTTACACACTAGTGATACCCATGCTGAACCCCCTAATCTATAGTTTAAGAAACAAGGAAGTGAAAGAGGCCATTAGAAAAGCCACAGCTGGAGAGGGAAACTCTTTCCTTCCCAATCACTTGACAAACAAAACACTGTGCTGAGACTGAAGAACTTAAGTCAAGATGGTATAGCTGGGATAGTTGCAAAATCTTGTAATTGCACAAAGAAAGGCGGATCCTCATCTCTATCCTGACCCCTTCTCAAATCACTGAAAAGACCTCACTCAGATTGGAGAATCACATTTCTCCTTTCGCATAGATTTCCAGGAATGGACCATGCTGCTCTAGAACTGAAAGAAACCGAATAAACTATGATCTGCAGAGGAATGAGCACTCCAGGAAGACAAAGTCTCAGGACATTTCTATGTCACAATTTTTTGCAATACATTTATTCATCATGTTTCCCAGGATCTTTTATCAGTGGGTGGGGAAAGGATTAAGCTGATTACTTTTCTCAACATTCATTCATTCATTCATTCATTCATTTACAACCACCCTGTGAGGTAGGTTGGGCTGGGAGTCTGTGACTGGCCCAAAGTCACCCAGGTGGCTCCATGGCAGAGCAGGGACTAGAACCCAGGTTGTCTGAGTCCAGTCCCGTGCTCTTAACCACAACACCACCCTGGCTCTCCACTGGCTCTCTTGAAAGGAAACCTTCTCCTTCCAAGGCTTCCTTTCCTTTAAATAAGCAGGTACCAGGGTTCTCTGAAACACACATTTATGTGTAACATGTATTTGGCCTGATAAGAAGGGAACAACATGAATGGAAGGGCGAAGAATGGGGGTTTTTTAAATTGTTTGATTGTTAGACGCCTAGAGATGCCACGGGCAAGATAGGTGGCATGAAAATGTTTTCAACAAATGAATAAATACAGAAGTTGTCTAGGATGTCCTGCGTGTACATTTTGATTGTGCTGCTGCTCTGGCCTTGGCGCATGAGGCACTGAAGGCATCCGGAGCACCTCTTAGAAATATTCCGGCATCCCAGGATTAGGAACTGATTCTGCCACATCCTGCTTTCTCCACAGTGCTGTAGATGGCATGGCTCACACCAGGGGGCTGAGACGTACAGGAAAATATAGCCACTTTGGAGGCTGTAAGGAAAATAAGGGATGATGCTTATTGTTTATGCCATGTATTTATTTCCTTTCTATACAGAAAAATAACTAAATCACTCTGGGCGCCCTCCACACAAGCAACATGTTTATCATTGATAGTCAAGCCTCTTGTGAAGGACTGAGAAAGCAAAATTTCATGTTGCTACACAAAAGCCAGAAGTTCTTAAATGGTTTTGCCACTGCTATTTCCCAAAGAGATCTCTTCAGTGTGGCTGCCCAGAGCAAACAGTTCTGGGCAGCTGAGCAATCAAAATCACATTTCCCCTAGTAGCCTTCACTGAAATAGCACAGGCATATGTTGACTTATTCAGGATGAGGATATCATGGTAGATTTTTTAATGTAGACACTCATGATTAGAGGTCCCATCGTCATGCTCCCAAGGAGAGCCTCCAAACCAAGGCGTATCAATGAACTAATTCTAGCAGTTTTAACGTTCCCCAGGATGGGTTCATATAATAGCAGAAGCCATCTTGGGTTGCAAGCCACTCACAGCACTGCTCTCCCACCCGCCGAGTCGATGCTGGGCAGGGATGACGGTTGTCCGTGAGAACGGCACCCGGTGCGCCCACTCCAGTGCCCCTCTTCCACACCCTGCCGCTGTACTTTGGGCGGCTGCACCTGATGCGGAAGGTTGCTGGTTGCACAACTGGGGATCTGCGAGCATCCCCGGGCATCGTGTTGCCTCAGCCTTCTTTGCAGGACCGGGCTGCGCAAAATAGGAAGGCTGTGTGTGCTGGAGGGATGGATTCTGAGCGGTTTGTCCCAAGCCTAGCCGGCACCGGCTAAAATTGGGTGGCTCTCACTCTTCCATGTTTCCAAACACATAGAGTCTTGGAAACACAAGCAAAAGTGAGAGGACTTCTAAAATAGTTGAGTCCCCCCACCAAAATAAACACTAAAACAAACCAGCATAGGAAGTAGTCATCACGATCACCCACTTCTTTGGTTTGGCTTGATAACTTGCAATTTGATGGTTCTTCCTGCTTTGAGCTTGCCTGAGTAAATGTCTCATGCTGGTACCTGCTGCGCTTCTCCAGCAGGACCTTCCCTGGACATTGCCCAGATGAGGCTCCTCAGTGTTTTGCCCTCACTGAGGGCACATGTGTTCACTTACAAAAGAATGAAAAACATTTAAAATATTGTGCATCAATATTGGGAGGTCCCCAATTTAAAAGGAAAAAAAAACTGGCTTGCAAACAGAGACGGCACCTCCAAGGTGCCACTTCGACACTTTGAAGGGCTGCCAGTGGCTATCAAAATGGGGATCATGAAAGCCAGCTGCCAAGCCAGAAATCCAGATTTCAGGGGCGGGGAATAAGAAACAGTGAAGAGTGCACAGGTGTGCTGCCGGGCAGGAGACAAGTTGGTCCTACGAATGTCTCCTGGCATAACTGCAGGAGGGGAGGAGAGAGGAAACACACACTTCATGGTGAGCACAACCATCTGTAAATGCACCCCCTGTTTTTGGCACAACAATCAAACCACCATGGCTCATTGCCAGAGTGAGCAGTCCTCTTCACTCTGGCTCCATACACCGCCCCTTTGGACTCACGAATCACAACACAGCAAACAAGGCAACTCAAAATCGGTGCCCAAAGGCAATGTGTTCTCCCCACGGGATCAAGCTGAATGCGGGATATGAGACATCCGTGATCAGAATCTCCTGCTTTCTTCTCCCTGCTTTCACATCAAAGCAGTGGTGTAAGACTGACCGCTGGACAGGGGAAGTGAGCGTGTGCACTGTTGCTCCCACATCCTCCCCCGATCTAACCTCCCACCCCATCCCATCCCACCCAACCAAATCCCAAACGGAAAGTAGCCTTCCCGGAGAAAGGAAGGCAAATGGAGCCCTTGCTTTTAATTTCAGACACACGCACAGACAATGCACAGTGGTGATGATCAGCACAGATCATGCGCATCAGCTCTGTTCGGGCTCCTGGAGCACTTGCACCTGATGCAGAATGTACTTCACTAAGCAACAATCTCAGTGGCTTAGCTGCTAACTGGAATTCCAGGGTGGGATTCACAACAGGGGATCCTGCCCTGGAAAACAGAGAGGCAAATTTCCTACATGATGCCTGTTCCGAGGGCGGAAGGGGCTACGGGGGAAAGGGGCTCAGCAACGTTGCCTCCCTCTGTCCACTGGCAGAGCGAGTGACTGCATGTGCACCTACGAGAGCAAACTCAGGATTCCAGTCGATATTTATTAAAATAAAAGAGGTTACACACCATATGACAAATATTTGCCCCCACAGGCTTTGCATCTCACACAACTCATGAACCAACCTGCAAAGAGGACACCTTGCCAATATTTATCTAAAATCGATACTTCTACCAAATTTTTCTCTAAGTGTGCCTCTCTCAAAAATGCACAATTTTCATAAAGCAACAGGAATATTGAGGTATAGTGCTATATATGGCTGAATTAGCTTGATTCTTACAGAAACATCTGTGCTGACGTACTATAACTTCTCGCTGACTTTTAAGCACATCGCCATGAGAAATGGCAGGTAGAAAATTTTCCCAGCTAAACTCAGGAAACAGCAGGCTGTGTTGCAGATAAAGAGGTAGAGAAAAGGAAGAAGAACTGCTGGAGTGTTGCTTATGCTTAGCTAATGAGGCAAAGGAACAAACGCTGTCCTAGTGCATGAGAAACCAGACGAGAAGCAGAGGTCTGGCCTGCGATGACAGAAGAGAAGTGGAGAGTAGCCTATTTGGTGGATTTCTAGGACTTTGCCCTTCAACCAGGAGCAGTGGCACTCCTGGCAGTTGGATCCAAGAATAGAACAGGGCTCTACAGACACAAGACACTCTAGCAAAAAAGGAGTTGGACTACAGATGCAAGTTCTTCGATCCGTGTTCATCTAATGTACCGAATTATTCATACTGTACTCCTGATTAAAATCTATTCGGGTATCACAGAACATTTGTAGCCAGCTTCCCACTCATGGTCAATGACTTGCTTCATATGCTGTCCATTGAAGTTCCCTGTTTCCTTGGGGTGGAGGGGGGCAACCAGCTGGCGCACGTGCCTGCCGCTTGGCGTCCAGCTGCCGCTGTCCAGGCTTCGCTCTTCATGTAGGCTCAGGCTGCTAATACATTGGCTTCTGCTAATGGCATGTGGAAATAGGTTACCGGGGGTATTTTACATGGGAAAAGAGGAAGCTGCCCCACCCTGGGTCAGAGTCTGGGCCCATCTAGCCCAGACCCATGGACAAGAAGGGGCAGTGGCCCTCCAGGGTTCCAGGCGAGGATTTTGAGCGTGCCAAGTGTCGCCAGGAATCGGACCCCGGCCCTTCCGGAGGCAAAGGAGCTGCCACCACGGAGCCACCGTTGGCGCACTTGTGTGCAACGTGCCATTCGCCGCTTCACATGTACCGCCCTGAGGGTGTGCTGCCCTCTTTCCCACTCTTCCTTCCCTGATATTGCCCCGCATCTGCGTCCTGGACATCCCTTGACCATCGTCCACCCTTAGCCTGCTACAATTTTGTGCTGACTCCTTCACTTCCTGTGAGATTTAAAGCCTGCGTTCTGACTAAATGGTGGAAAGTGGCTCACAATATAGAAAATGCAATAACTATACATTATCAAACATTAACACTCAGAAGCTTAAAATGTTTACAATAGCAGTGTCAAGTTCACATGACAGGAATCAACATAAAACATTATGTCCCTGTTATGGATATTACAAAAGCATAGAAGAAGAAGAAGAGGAAGAGGAAAAGGAAGATTATTTTCCCCAATGGACTAAAAGGGCTGAACAAGCACATTTGCAGCATTTCCAGTAAGATGCAATTCCACAGGCAAGAGGCCGCCACTGAAAAGTCTCAGTTGCTGGCTCTGCTCAATTGAACGTCAGATAGGAGAGGCACTAGGGAAAATTCATAAACCAGGACAGCAAAACGTGTTTTGAGTCTGCATCAGGTTCTGAACCACCCTTCACAGGTGAAGGGCTTTGAGCAAGGCCCTCTTCACTTCCCTGTTCCTCAGACTGTAGATCATTGGGTTCAGCATGGGAGTTAGTAGCACGTACAGCATGGAAGTGATCCGGTCCAGCAGGTGTGAATAGGCAGGCTTAGGGTGCGCGTAGGTCGCGATGGCAGCCCCATAGAACAGGCAAACGACAGTCAGGTGGGACCCACAGGTGGAAAAGGCCTTGCGCCGACCCTCAGCAGAGCGCATGCGCACAATGGCAGAAATTATGTAGATGTAAGAAATCAGGGTGACCACAAAAGGAACACCTCCTAAAATACTGGCCACAAGAAGAACTACAAGCTCAGGGAAGAAGGTAGAAGAACAAGAGACTTCCATCACGGGGCGGATGTCACAGTAATACTGGTTAACTTTATTGGGTCCACAGAAAGATAATGAAAAAGTCAGGGAGGTGTGAACCAAGGAATTGAGAAAGCCTGTTAGCCAAGTGCCAGCAGCCAGCTGAGCACACAGCCTTTTATTCATGATGTTGGTGTAGTGCAAGGGATGGCATATAGCCAAATAGCGGTCATATGCCATCACTCCTAGCAGGAAAACCTCTGTGCTCACTGCACCAATCAGGAAGAAGAGCTGGAGCACACAGCCAGAAAAGGATATTGTCTTCTCCTCAGACAAGAA